GGTAGCCGAGAAAATCTATTTCATTTTGATAAAAATTACATTTTTTAAGGTTAAGTTGGAGATTTTCCTCTAAACAGAATTTAAAGAAAAGTCGAAGGTGCGTAAGGTGTTGTTCTGAGGAGTCAGAAAAAATAACGAAGTCGTCATAATAATGGGCTATGAAAGAGAGGTGGTGTTTGTGGATCAACTGGGTAATCACACGTTCGAAAATTTGGGGTGCTGATTTGAACCCAAAGGGTAAGCGTTTGAAATTATATTGCCCTTGTTGAGTCACGAAAGAGAGTAGTGGTTGACTCTCCTCCGCGATGGGGATTTGATAGTATGCATTGCTTATGTCAACGGTGCTAAATACTCTGGCTTTCGACAGGTTATCCAGTACCGTTTCTATCAATGGCAAAGGATGCAAATCCGAGGGTACTAGTTCGTTCACGCGACGGAAGTCAATGCAGAGACGCATGGTGTTATCGCGTTTGCGAACGAGTGTCACAGGAGAGGAATATGGGCTAGAGGAGGGGGTGATTATGTCATGTTTTAGAAGTTGAGATATCTGGTCCTGAATTTCCTTCTGGTAGGCATAGGGAGTTCGGTATGGTCGGAGGGAAATAACCTTATCGGAAATAATTTTGAGTTTTACAGGGGTTATGTTGAGTGGTAATACATTGAATTTATTGATAGGGAAAATATCTTTAAAAGAATACAATAATTGCTGATAAGGGATAGTCAGTTCTGGGCGTTGTTCGATAAATTCTTTAATCATTAATTCTCTAGAGGCGCATGGGCTGGTAGGAATGCTAATAAGGTTGTAAGGGTGAGAGGGGCATTCAGGGGAAGGTTGATAAATATTACTAAGGGTTGTTTGTAAGTAAGGCTCACGTGGAGGTTGAAAATCGTCAACGCCTAAGTTAACCGAGTGAATTATGGGTCGTTTAGGGTTAAAAGTTATTATTCGCGAGCCGTGCTTACAAGTGGGAAGGTCACATACAAAATGGTACAAATGTTTAGGTACTGGAACACTATTTTGAAGTATCAATTGATTATGAAAATCTATAGTTAATCTTAAAAATTGCATAACATGAATAGATAGGATACCATGTTCAAGGGGTGAATTTAAAATATAAAATGTTTCATTAAAATTAAAATTATTAAATTGTATTGGTAAGGTAACTAATCCGATTGGTTTGGCATGACTAGATATAGTACGGATAATAACATCATTGTTAATAGGGGTGGAACAAATGAAACTATTAACATTTTTAATATATTCAAATTGGTTTAAACTAATTATGGAAACATTGGCTCCAGAGTCAATTAGGAATGGTATCTTTAAAGAATGAATGATAGGGGTTAAAATAATTGCACTTACAGGCATATGCTGGTTTAGGGTGCAGGTAGGTTTATTGAGCTTCGGAGGAGTTCTGCTGCCGAAGCTGGCATTACTTGGTTTCTCCCGAGCTCGTCGTTGCTGCGGTCTCGTAGACACCTGCAGGCCCAGTCGATCTTTGGGGTTGCTCGACGCTGTGGACCGCAGGTGTAAAGGTCCGAAAAGTCCGCTGGTAGGGCCCTCGCTGCTGACACTGTGCGTGCCAGTGTTGTCCGCCACAGTAACGGCAAGGATATGGTGGGGTCTTGTCCACGGCGGTGGAAGGTGTTCTGCTCTGGCGCGGTGATCGTTGTTGGGCAGCTTTAGTGCTGGTGTTATCCCCTTCGTAGGTCAGCTGTTGGGCTAAGCACAACCATTCTTCTGGTCCCGAGGGTTGTGCCATCTTCAAAAGGTTGCCATAGTTACGTGGCACACCGTTGGATAGTGCTTGCACGATGGCACTCTTAGGGAGGTTGATCGCCAATCCTATTCGGACCTTGTTCTTGTAGTAGGTCTCGATGTCGGCCATCGACGTGCATTTAAGTTCATAGAACTCTTTAAGGGTGAAGCTAGGGCGTCGGGGATAGTCGGCGCAGAGTGACTCTTTGACCTCTTCATAAGTCTTATTGAGTAGCGCTAAGTCTTGTGCAACTTTGCGAGGTTCGCCTCTGAGTGATGATAGAGCCTTTCGAGCTTGGCGTGCTGGCTCTAAGTTGTGGAAGTTCGGCTGAGACTCAAGTTGTGAGAAGAAGTGTGCGGCAGGTTCATCTCCGTCGTAGGTGATTGTTTCTTCAGACTCACGGTTTAAAAGTTGGTCGAGACAGAGGGTGAGCGTTTGAAGGGAAGCGGCTACAGTAGAGTCGGTCGTTGGTTCTTGTGGAACTTGGTTGTGGGTTTGTTCGTTCATCGTGGTATTGCTTCTTGTTTTCTTCATACTCTGGTATATGAGGGATTTGTTTCTCGGTCAGATCTTATCCTGTCGACTTTTCAATGTGACAATATAGTGGTAAATGATGTGGTGAGGTGATAAATAATCACACGACGAGTTGTTAGAGCAAAAAATCCAGGCAGCCAGCCGAGAGAGAAAGAGGTGGCGAGTGTGCTATCTACTGAACGACTGTTTTTTCCCTGTGTACACAAGCGGGGCAAACAAAAGATTAGACGCCAGGTGTTGACGCCCCCCTCAGGAATGTGGTCAACAAAGGGTCGCAAGTTAGTTATCTTCGAATCGACTACGTCTCTCTCTCTCTGGTCGGCTGCAGATTTACTTTATTATTCCTGTTAGAGCATATATTATGACATATATATATATATATATATATATATATATATATATATATATATATATATATATATATATATATATATCCACAATACCAATAATTTCTAATTATATTTTATGATGTATCAATGCGGATGCTATATAAAACAAAGAAAAGAAAAGAGGAGAATAATATACGCCCTAAAATAAACATATATTTGTAGAACGACATTTGAAAATTATCCCGCATGTGTTTCTTTTGAACGAAAAATCTAAATTAATTTAAAGGAGAAATAACGATTATTTCTAACCTTAGGGATGAATTATGAAAGGATTCATTGTGAAGAGTAATGATAAACGGAAAAATAAAGTGTCCAGGGATGGGAATCGAACCCACAGTATTCCGCTTATCGGGCAGATGCCATGTCCACTAGGCTACCCTGGACATATTTTTCCGTTCGTAAATAATATATAATGTAATTTATAATACAATATAATGCGGCTTATGATTGTAAAACGACATTTTAAAATTATCCCGCATGTGTTTCTTTTGAACGAAATTACTATATACTCGAATTCTAAACTAAAAAAGGATTTGATAATTAAATGGGATTTATTCTCTATGGGGTGTAAATATGTCTATTTCCAGTCTGACCCAACCTTGGAGACAGCCCAAGTCCTCTCTGGACCAAATCCAACCATGTTTTGCTTTCTCAGAAATCTTCCAATCGCATTAAATTCTGGGAGTCACTCAAGATTTTTCAGATTTACTTATTTGACTGAGTCTGGAGAGAGAGACAGCATCTTACAGGATCACAAAGCTAAGTAAACATGAAATATAATTCCTGTTTTGGTAGAATGTTGGATGTTGAAGAATAAATGATTCTGTGTTAATTATCAATCATAAAAGTTGGCATCAGCGCTTTACGAAATATAAGACAATTGACAATTTAAACAATTTTATTGATTCTATTAATAAATTGTTACAAAGGTGGAAAAATATAGACTGAAATAGTAAATAAAGGGTATATAAAATGTAGGGGAATATATATATATATATAGTTGTGTATGTGTACAAATTTCTTCAGCAAGGGAGACTTCCCCACCTTGAGAGAGTTCTCCTCCAACAAGGTCTTCTTGAACACTCCTCAGTTCCACACCGAGGAAGTGCTTATAGATGTGTGTCTTGGCAGACGCCGGGATGGCCAGGGGTCATCATCTAGGCCATGCCCGAAGACCCATATAAGAAATTTGAACTATTTTTAACCCGTATGATTCTTTGTAAAATAAATTAATTTTCTACTGCCCTTACTGCAATGATGAATTAATGGGAGGTCCTGGCTCATTGGTGGTGAATCCTCCCAGCGATTACGTCAGTTAATCTATCATACCCGTTGTTATATTGCATTTTCCAGTTTTCCTTTTATACTGATACATATCTAGACTCTTGGAATGGGTATTTTAAATGAATTATGGATATCAGCTTTGAGGACAGCAGAAATACATATAATGATAAATTTAAACTTCGAGCATTGCTCTTCAGCAAATTGCAAGTAAAAGTATTTTTAAAACACTTTATATATATTGTCAAGTAGCTCTAAAACCTTCGCCAGAGGAAGTTTCATGGGACACCTGTCAATCATCACTGGACTCCGGGGGGACGACCACAGGTGTGAGGGGTTCTCGGAATCTTATCGGCAAATAAGGAAAACGAGACGGTGGCTGACCACTCTCATTATTATTATTTTACCTTGGGATAAGTTGTTATCTCTCTCTATAAATACCTATTTTATATAATTTTATTGGAGAACTAAAAGGTAAATAACCTTTATAATAAATTAATTATTTACAAACTTGCTTTATTTATCTCCGCGAAAATTTGATTACGAAATGGAAAATGAAAATAGAAGCGCATGGTTAATCAGTAGTTAACTTTCTAATTCAATCATCAATTCGAATTATACCAGACCATATCACTTATTTTTGTTCTTTCTAATTCCATAGTCTGCCTTTAGAGGTTTGGTCTTGATAGTGTAAGAAACTATGAGGATAGTATATTTCAAGCGCGCGCGCATATTTTCTTAGTTTAAAATACTGTACAAGATTACAAACATATAAAAGACATGTATTTAGTGTCATTTTTTTCAAGTAGAACTTCAAATGCATTTCTTTCAATATTTAAAACGATGCCAATTAAGGCATCTTCTAATATCAACAATTAACTAATAATAAAGTGATGAGTGTTAGAAATAAAACCTCGTTTGTTGTGTGTTGCCCATTTTTTTTTTTTTTCAAATTCGAAACTATAAAGCACCACTGTATTTAAAATTAAATATTATTTAGCTTCGTTCGATTATTTTAGAAAGAAATGGGGTACAGGCTCAAGTAGTTTATAATACATATATAGGGGGTCGGTGGAAGGCTGGTTAAACAGTTTGGTTTTCGACCAATACGACCCGGGTTCGATTCCCGCATTGGACACTTTTTTCTGTTTAAAAAAAATGCTCGAATGGCCCCCGATTCTTGCAAAAGTCCAACCCCACCAGCAAGTGCAAGTAACCAAACGGGGCTCTGGCACATTTGTAAGTGCAAAGTCGAACTGCTTTTCACGTGTGTAGACATGTGGTGCGCTTACAGTAAAAGCGGTCGCTAACTACCCACCATGATTATCATGAATGTACCACGTGTACGGAGGGTGTTTCCTTTCAAATGAAACGATTTCAAACGTCCGTTAGAACTTTATTTTTCGAACGTGAATTTTTTTCATGTGTTCTATGTGCTTCCCCTTCTTCTTGGCTATCTCCCTGCATCGGACTTTCCAAACTGCGAACACTTCCTTGACTTTGGAGAGCGAAACATTCGACCACTCCTCTTGTGCGGCTTTCCAAAGAAGGAAACAGTTATAGCGTCATAGTGAAAAAGCTAAAAGCAGAAGGACTAGATGTTGGCAAAGCTACAATATGTAGGGTAGTAAATGGCATCGGAAAGAAAAGGGAAGCTGAATCCAATGGGCAAAAATTTCAAGTCGATCGACCACGTCCGGTGCGGACCCCCGCCACGGTTTCCAAGGTAAAGCGGCTAGCAACTACTGAAAATCCACCATCTCAGCGCCAACTTTCCAGAATGTGTGGAACATCGCTAAAAACGATAAATAACATCATTCACAAAGATTTGGAACTGGATACCCGACGAAAAGGCAAGGTTCACAAGCTCACCCCTTTCCACATGAAAAACCGTGCAACGAATGCCCGGAAGCTCTACGAGGAACACCTGGCCGGTTCCAGATCGGAATATACTGCAACATTGGACGAAGCATGGATGTATGTGACGTATTGCAATGGAATCCGGAAGATCTGTTACATCAAAAGAGGCAATCAGGTCCCGGATAATTGGGTTCACCAATGCTCCGAAACTTTTCCTAAAGGTTTCATGGTTGTCGGGGTAATGACTGGCCGTGGAGTCCTTCCGCTCATAAAGGTTCCATCGAAGGTGAAGGTGAACTCAGAATTCTATATAGAATGCGTTCTGAAACCTGTCATCGAACAACTGAAGGACCTTTACCCAGGGGAAATGGACAAAGTGTTCCTTCATCACGACAAAGCCTCTTCCCATACCTCCAACAAAACCCAACAGTTCCTACAAGAAATGAAGGACACCCTAGGCCTAAATTTTATCAGGAACTCGGACATTCCAGTGAAGTCTCCCGACGCCAGCCCACTGGATTTTTACGGGTTCGGTATGTTGAAACAACGGCTCTTCAACCGACGTCCCAAAACTGAGGCCGGACTTTGGAAAGCCGCACAAGAGGAGTGGTCGAATGTTTCGCTCTCCAAAGTCAAGGAAGTGTTCGCAGCTTGGAAAGTCCGATGCAGGGAGATAGCCAAGAAGAAGGGGAAGCACATAGAACACATGAAAAAAATTCACGTTCGAAAAATAAAGTTCTAACGGACGTTTGAAATCGTTTCATTTGAAAGGAAACACCCTCTGTACTAGGGATAAGCAAAAAAAAAAAATAATAATAATAATAATAATAATACATATGAAACAAATTTCATTTAAAATTACAAAGAATATATATGGTTATTTTGTCAAACTACATTGACAAAAATTTGCACTTTTATCTTATCTCAGTTTTTAGTAGGAAGAATGCTGTTTCTGTTTGATAGTGAACCAATCTCTCACGCCTTCTCATTGGACGAATGTGGCCATTTTGTATAAAAGAGGGGGCTAAGGGAATGCGAGAGGCCAGTGTGGTGGATTATTGTGTGGAGACGTTTAAAGTGTTCTCTGCGTGTTTTATCCGTGTCTGGTGATCTCCTCGCATACCTGTGTAACCCCGGTCCGATCCCTACCAACGCTACAATAAAAATATAAGTACTGTTTTCATTTTATTTTACAAATCGTGAGTTTTTATTTACTTCCTTTTTGTTGTTGGTGTTATATTCTTGAGTGTACGCTTTCCTGTGTATTAAGTCACTCTTACATTAGGCCCTAGTATATTGCATTTATGTGTGATAATCCGTTATAGTATCTTTTGTCAATTTTAATACAGTAATATACTGCACGTAAACAAATACGGATTACTTCGATTTCACAACACCCTAAAAGAAGAGTTATAATTTATTTTATTTTGAAGAAAGTGAGAGATATTTAAATTACTTTTAATATATCGTTCATATATAATTATATAAAGTTAAATATGAAATTTTTAGTATGAATAAAAAAATAAGACTAAATAGAATATAGATAATAAAATATACATATATATAAAACAAAAAAGTAATATTCTGATCAGGCTCACATGAGCATTTCTAGATGGCAGAGCGCCATCTATTGGAGAAAAAAAAAACTAAACGTTATTTAACTTGTTTAAATTCGTTTAAATATTAATTCAATCAAATATCCAGAAATATTTAAGAGCATAATGTCGTCCTTAAACAATAGGTGTTCTTTGTTGACTCGACAAAGATATATTTTATAAAATCCTTGATTCAAAGAAGGGGGAAAATATATTTTCATTTTGTTTCGTATTACAGTTTTAAATAATATCTTTAGCTTTAAAAAAAACGTATATTTAATATAATTAATATCAATAATATATTAAATTTATTTTCAGAATAGGTTTATATTAATTTTAATTAATTCGAATATTTTAGATAGAACTGAGAGAAATGGCTTCATGCTGTGAATACAAGAAAAATTCAAAGAGAGCAAATAAATGAAAGAAATCGATATTAACGACTCTGCGCCTTTTAACAATTTGATTTTACATTTTGAAAGAGAAAAAAAAAATACAAATCGTTTTGAAAGTAAGGGAAATGAATAGCAGCCATAAAAGTTGAAAAGCGAGGGGTTTCCAGATAGATTAATCATAAGAAGAGAATATGCAAAGAGGAAGCATGCATCAACAAGTATTGGCAGTTTGAGGAGTAATGGTTATCTCACTCGAGGTGACATCAGCAGTTGAAGAAAGTGACGCTAGAGGGCGAGGCACCTGGCGCCTGGTTGAGAGAATCGATGACTCCAGACTGTCCCGTCAACTGATCAATGGGGTGACCCTGTCTTCACCTGAGGAGACCCCCTAACTTGAGGGGTCAATAACGATAATCTATAAAACAATCCAATCTTGCTGCATCATCCCGTTTGTCCCATGTCTCCTAATACACTTAGAAAATATTAGATTCTTGCGCAGTTTTGTATTCGCACAAGTTTAACCTTCTGGATAGAATGAACATTGAGAAAATAGTAGAATATGACACTTTGTAATCGAAATTCTAAGATAAGTTATAGATATGTAGACATTTTATATTTATAATTCAGGTAGTCATGTTTTCATATCCACCATGAATATGGAAAAAGAGCATGTCAATATTTTCTTGGGAAAAGTACAATATAATCAAATATATGGACAAAAATGCTTGATAAAATGAACACTAAATTTTCACAACATGCCTACTTATTAAAATTTATTTTCGATCGTTCACTTACAAGCTGTCAGTGTGGTTACAGACATTAGTTTACAGGGATAGATTGACAAAATAACCGGGAAATGGGTGCAATTGTATTAACCATCTGTGTATGCTCGATCTCATGTCCTGCTAGACACGTGCAACGACGAAGATCACGAGAGAAACCTATGGTTAATAGGAAATATTGATTTTAAAAGGTCTGTGGATGCTCTATGACCCCTAGAAAAAGAAATGAACCAACCAAACATAGCAACAAAGCCACGTCCTCATAGAAACTCCAGTGAAATGAGAGGCAGATAACTGAGCAAGACTCCAGGAATAAATGCTCCAAACACACCCCGCCTTCCATAATGAGGGAGTCGCCCATGGTTTAAAAAACTGCCATCTCTCCTACAAAAAAGGAAACTATGAATCTATTTAAAAATTAATCATTTGATTGATTAATCCGTGATATTTCTTCTTTTCATATCTCTCTCTATATTCCTCGGAGTTTATTTACCTAGAGTAGTACTTAGGTGGGCTCCACTTAGCGGCACAATGACCACAGCACAACTCACTATAGAAAATTATTTCAACCCTCCAATTATTTCAAATATCCGAGTTCAATAGAAGGTAAGCATTTAATTTTTATACTCTAGGCTCTAATAAAAATTAAATTTCAATAGGTTAATATATGTATAAATATATATTAATAGTAAAAAATATTTTTTCTTGGAGAATAGAGAAAAGTAAAATAATAAGAAATACAGATTTTGAATTTAACTTTAAGTCAGATTAGCAAGCTAATTCTGTATCGATAATACCGTTGAGTGAATTTCAAAATTTATAAAATTTGTTATTTAGTTTAAACATGTGAGGTTATATATATATATATATATATAATAAATAAGTAGTTTTTATATAGTAGTATGAAGGATTTAAATTGAGAGAAATATTTTAGCAATATATTTGTAATTAGAAATAGATGGGTGGTGTCTTGTCCACAAAAGCAATGGCAAGGTTTTGGACGGTGGCTGACACCGCCGGCTCCTGACGTCTGGATCTCGCCTAGGAGGTGGAGACTGCTGAGCCTGTGGGAGGCCGCGTCCAGCGTCCTCGAGCTTGACCACCGGGTTCTTCATCCCGCCAGCTTGAGGTCCTTGCGTCTACGAGGCGACAACAGATTCCTGCGGCCGCCAGACCTGCTGGCTCGCGAGCGCTGGCTACAGGCGACTGTCGGGGACTTCTCCGATGGCGCCCCTGACCTAGTGCGCTCAACGCGGGCCGCGCTCCTGGACGCGCAGCATCTGGGGGCCTTCTTCCAACGTCTCCTGCGGGAAAACGCCAGCTCCAGCTATCATGCGGAGTACGAGGCGGAGACCATCGTCCTGCGGGGATCGGCGACTCCCATCACCCGCCTAACCAGCCAGAGGGCGCGCCGGGCATTGGACTCGGCACGGCTCCAGGCGCATCCTACTGCAGAGCTGGCTGCCCGGTGGACCCCCACCGTGGATGTGCCCCGCTCCATCCCCT